CTCTATGTTCCTTTCCTCTCATCTTCTCTTCTTTCTCCCTGTCATTTCTTCTCCTTTTCTCTCTTTCCTCCTCTTTTTTATCTTCTCTTGTACCCTCTCCTCTTCTATCTCTTCTGTGTTCTCCTCCCCTCTCTTCTCCTCTTCTCTCTTCTTGTACCCCTCTCCTCTTCTATCTCTTCTCTGCTCTCCTTCTCTCTCTTCTCCCTTTCTCTATGTATTCATCTTCTCTCTCCTCTCCACTCCTCTCATACCTTTTCCTCTTCTATCTCCTCTCTTCTCTCCTCTCCTCCCCTCTCTTCTCCCTTTCTCTATGTATTCATCTTCTCTTCTCTCATACCTTTTCCTCTTCTATCTCCTCTCTTCTCTCCTCTCCTCCCCTCTCTTCTCCCTTTCTCTATGTATTCATCTTCTCTTCTCTCATACCTTTTCCTCTTCTATCTCCTCTCTTCTCTCTCTCCTCCCCTCTCTTCTCCCTTTCTCTATGTATTCATCATCTCTTCTCTCATACCTTTTCCTCTTCTATCTCTCTCTCTTCTCTCCTCTCCTTCCCTCTCTTCTCCTTTTCTCTATGTATTCATCATCTTTTCTCTCCCCTCCTCTTCTCTCCTCTCCTCTCCCTCTTCTATCTCCTCTCTTCTCTGCTCTCCTCCCATCTTTTCTACTTTTCTTTTTGTACTCCTCTTTTCTCTTCTCCCGTGGTGCGCAGTCATGTTGGAACAGGAAGGGCCATCCCTAAACTCTTCCCAGAAAGTTGGGAGCATGAAATTGTCCAAAATGTCCTTAAGAGTTCCCTTCACTGGAACTAGGGGGCCAAGCCCAACCCCTGAAAAACACCCCCACACCAGAATCCCCCCTCCACCAAACTTTACACTTGGCACAATGCAGTCAGGCAAGTACCGTTCTCCTGGTAAACACCAAACCCAGACACATCCATCGGATTGCCAGACAGAGAAGAGTGATTGGTCACTCCAGAGAACACGCCTCCTCTGCTCTAGAGTCCAGTGGCGGCATGCTTTACACCACGGCATCCGACGCTTTGCATTGCACTTGATGATGGAAGGCTTGGATGCAGCTGCTCGGCCATGGAAACCCATTCCATGAAGCTCTCTACGCACTGTTGTTGGGCTCATCTGAAGGCCACACCAAGTTTGGAGGTCTTTAGCTATTGACTCTGCAGACAGTTGGTGACTTCTGCGCACTGTGCGCTTCAGCATGCGCTGACCCCGCCCTGTCATGTGACGTGGCCTACCACTTGGTGGCTGAGTGGCTGTTGTTCCCAGTGGCTTCCACTTTGTTATAATCCCACTAACAGTTGAGCGTGGAATATTTAGTAGCCAGGAAATGTCACGGATGGACTTATTGCCCAGGTGGCCACCTATCACGGGACCACGCTTGGAGTCACTGAGCTCCTGAGAGCGACCCATTCTTTCACCAATGTTTGTAGAAGCAGTCTGCATGCCTAGGGGCTTGATTGTATTCACCTGTGTCCAGGGGCGGACTGACAACTCATGGGGCCCCTGGGCAATAGGGGATCATGGGGCCCCTGTGTCCTTGCCCAAACTCAAAAAAGCCTATGAAAAAGGTACCAGGGGCATCTCATGGGGCCCCCTACTGACCCCAGGCCCTCGGGAACTGCCCGAGTTTCCAAATGGTCAGTCCGCCCCTGCCTGTGTCCATGGAGGGGATTGGATCACCTGAATCACATGATTTGGAGGGCGGGGCCAATACTTGGGGAAATATAGTGTATGTTCTCCTCTTCTGTCTCCTCCCTTTGCTGCTTTCATTCCTTCTCTACTCCTTTGCACTCTGTACTCTTCATCTGTTTTCTCTGTTTCCCTCTCCTCTTCTCCCCTCTCTTCTTCTCAACTCCTCTCCACTTTTCTTCTCTCTGATCCCTTTTTTCACCTTCTTTCCACTCCTCTAACCTCTTCTCTTTTCTCTGTATTCTTCTATCTGCTCTCCTCTTTCTTTTTATCTCTTCTCCTCCACTCTTTTACCCTCTCCTCTTTGTAATCGTTAGTTTCCTCTGCTTTTTTCCCCTCCTTTCTCCTCTTCTTTCCTCCCATCTTGTTTCTTCATCTCTCTGTTCTCTTCTCCCCTCTGTGTCCCTGTGCTGTTACCCAGTTCTCTCTTTAGAGGTCTACAGAATATCGCGCAGTTCCCTTCATGAAAACCTGCAGAACATCACCTAGTTCGGTCTCTAGAGATCTGCAGAACATTGTCAAGTTCCATCTCTACAGATCTGCAGAACATCACCCATTTCCATCTCTACAGATCTGCAGAACATCACCCAGTTCCATCTCTACAGATCTGCAGAACATCACCCAGTTCCATCTCTACAGATCTGCAGAACATCACCCAGTTCCATCTCTACAGATCTGCAGAACATCACCCAGTTCCATCTCTACAGATCTGCAGAACATCACCCAGTTCCATCTCTACAAATCTGCAGAACATCACCCAGTTCCATCTCTACAAATCTGCAGAACATCACCCAGTTCCATCACTACAGTACTGCAGAACATCACCCAGTTCCATCTCTACAGATCTGCAGAACATCACCCAGTTCCATCGCTACAAATCTGCAGAACATCACCCAGTTCCATCTCTACAGATCTGCAGAACATTTCCAAGTTTTGTTTCTCTAGAGATCTGTTAAGCATGTCCTTTCTACAGATCTGCAGAATATTGCACAATTCTATTTGTAGAGATCTACACATCAATGACTTCCTTGTCTAGAGATGTGCAGAACATCATCCAGTTCCAACTGTAGAGACTTGGAGAACACAGCCCTATTCTATCTCTAGAGACCTACAGAACATTGCTAGTTTCATCTCTATAGATCTGCAGAACATTGCCCAGTTCCATCTCTAGAGATTTGCAGAACATCGCCTAGTTCCATCTCTAGAAATCTACAGAACATTGCCAAGTTCTATCTCTGGAGACCTGCAGAATATTGCCCAGGTCCATCTCTAGGTATCTCCAGACCAATGCCCAGTTCTATCTCTAGGGACCTGCAGAACATTGCTCAGTTCGAGTGTGAGAGATCTGCATATCAATTCCCAGTTCCATCACTAGAGACCTGCAGAATATTGCCCAGCTCTATCTCTGGAGACCTGCAGAATATTGCCCAGTTCTATCTCTGGAGACCTGCAGAATATTGCCCAGTTCTATCTCTGGAGACCTGCAGAATATTGCCCAGTTCTATCTCTAGGTATCTCCAGATCAATTCCCAGTTCCATCGTTAGAGACCTGCAGAATATTGCCCAGTTCTATCTCTGGAGACCTGCAGAATATTGCACAGGTTCATCTCTAGGTATCTCCAGATCAATGCCCAGTTCCATCTCTAGGGACCTGCAGAACATTGCCTGGTTCCAGCATATCAATTCCCAGTTCGATCTCTAGGGACCTGCAGAACATTGCCTGGTTCCAGCATATCAATTCCCCGTTCCATCTCTAGGGACCTGCAGAACATTGCCTGGTTCCAGCATATCAATTCCCAGTTCCATCTCTAGGGACCTGCAGAACATTGCCTGGTTCCAGCATATCAATTCCCAGTTCCATCTCTAGGGACCTGAAGAACATTGCCTAGTTCCATCTCTAGGGACCTGCAGAACATTGCCTGGTTCCAGCATATCAATTCCCAGTTCCATCTCTAGGGACCTGAAGAACATTTCCTGGTTCCAGCATATCAATTCCCCGTTCCATCTCTAGGGACCTGCAGAACATTGCCTGGTTCCAGCATATCAATTCCCCGTTCCATCTCTAGGGACCTGCAGAACATTGCCTGGTTCCAGCATATCAATTCCCAGTTCCATCTCTAGGGACCTGCAGAACATTGCCTGGTTCCAGCATATCAATTCCCAGTTCCATCTCTAGGGACCTGAAGAACATTGCCTAGTTCCATCTCTAGGGACTTGCAGAACATTGCCTGGTTCCAGCATATCAATTCCCAGTTCCATCTCTAGGGACCTGCAGAACATTGCCTGGTTCCAGCATATCAATTCCCAGTTCGATCTCTAGGGACCTGCAGAACATTGCCTGGTTCCAGCATATCAATTCTCAGTTCCATCTCTAGGGACCTGCAGAACATTGCCTGGTTCCAGCATATCAATTCCCCGTTCCATCTCTAGGGACCTGCAGAACATTGCCTGGTTCCAGCATATCAATTCCCCGTTCCATCTCTAGGGACCTGCAGAACATTGCCTGGTTCCAGCATATCAATTCCCCGTTCCATCTCTAGGGACCTGCAGAACATTGCCTGGTTCCAGCATATCAATTCCCCGTTCCATCTCTAGGGACCTGCAGAACATTTCCCAGTTCGGTTCCTAGACATCTACAGAGCATTCATCTGCCCCTTCCAGCTTCATCTGGCAATAGTCAGACATGTATGATTGATAGGTTGGACATGTTTGCATACACAGTGTTCTGGGAAGATAGACGGTCATTATGGTTCTTGAGTCAGCCATCTGTGGTCCCTGTAGGATAGGCAGTATACCTGTCCTGCACATCTCCGGCATTCTCCTGCACAGCCGGCGCACCGTACAGCGTTCCGGATAAAACACATAGGGCCTAATTACCTCTCCTTCCCTGCCAGGATGATGCTTGCCTGTTTGTGCGTCTGTGCGCACGCCTCTGCTCTTCCCCACAGGGGAGCGCCGCCACGCAGCTCAGCGCAGGAGCCCATTAGTGAAGCTCCTGTCCAGATAGTGAGGGTGTCTAATTAAAGGGGAACTCCAGTCTTACATGACAGCCATCGGTGGAATGTGAACAAAGGTCTCAGTGTGTAGCCATGTTTTATACAATGTCATGATCGGTGCGCATGGGGACTGAAGGATGGCAACCGTGGGACTGATAGGAATCCTGATGACTGATGGGAAGTTTTCATGACAGGTTCACTTTGCTGGGAAGGGGCTCTCTGATGGGGACACCTGATGTACGAGGGGACTCTGATGGGGACACCTGATGTAAGAGGGACTCTGATGGGGACACCTGATGTAAGGGGGACTCTGATGGGGACACCTGATGTAAGGGGGCTCTCTGATGGGGACACCTGATGTAAGGGGGCTCTCTGATGGGGACACCTGATGTAAGGGGGACTCTGATGGGGACACCTGATGTAAGGAGGACTCTGATGGGGACACCTGATGTAAGGGGGACTCTGATGGGGACACCTGATGTAAGGGGGCTCTCTGATGGGGACACCTGATGTAAGGGGGACTCTGATGGGGACACCTGATGTAAGGAGGACTCTGATGGGGACACCTGATGTAAGGAGGACTCTGATGGGGACACCTGATGTAAGGGGGCACTCTGATGGGGACACTTGATGTAAGGGGCTCTCTGATGGGGACACCTGATGTACGAGGGGACTCTGATGGGGACACCTGATGTAAGGGGGACTCTGATGGAGACAGCTGATGTAAGGGAGACTCTGATGGGACACCTGATGTAAGAGGGACTCTGATGGGGACACCTGATGTAAGAGGGACTCTGATGGGACCACCTTGGCTAACCCTCTGGTAACATGAAGCACCCCTTTCTCCGGGGCCGAGGCAGTTAACAGCGGTGCTCATCACGTCCGATCGCATGCGCCAGCTGCCACCCTCCGCGCTCCATCATGTCTGCCAAGCGGCTCGGAAACGTTTTTCTCCATCAGCACAATCCAGAGAGAATTGAAAAAAAAAAAACTACATGAGACCCGAAACCTCCCCAACCCCCCCAAGTCTGCGCTGCAACTACAACCTCCGCTTACACAGAATATGGCCGATGGTTTCCATGGCAACCCCCCCCCCCCCAGTGCGCCTCCCTGTCACCGGCACGGCGAGCATCCCTCACCCCCAGTAACCCGGCGCTGTCACGTTTCACAAAAGCCACGTCGGCGGCTCCATCTAATCTGTCCTAATTACAATATTGTGGGAGCCGTGTTGTTGCTGTGTGTGTGGGGTTCACAGGCGTCGTCTGTGGATGGCGGGGGCCATGGAACACCACGGTGCGCCTTCACTGAGGGATATATATATATATACTACTGTGTACACTGAGAGCTAGAGACCTACATATAACATACAGGGACTGATCTGCGGCAGACAATTGTGAACACGCACAAGAAGTGCCCAGGCACCAGGATTGACATGACCGCTGAGACAGCGTCTCAGTCCAGATGGTGACCCCGGGCGATGCCAGGCCAAAGATGGCGCTGTCCATCTGGAGAGAAAAGCAGGCGATCTCTGTGGGAGGCAATCAGTACCGGGGGGGGGTTCCCATTCCTTTGCCTGCGTGGATTGGAGACGTACGGGATGATATGACCCGCGCAGAGCACAATTTTGGGGATCTCAGAACTCGCCCGGAAGCACGACTTTTCTCCATGGATGGCCCCTCCCACAGTCGACTTTTCTCCATGAACGCCCCTCCCCCCCAATCGACTTTTCTTCATAAACGCCCCTCCCCCCCGTCGACTTTTCTCCATGAACGCCCCTCCCCCCCATGTGTGGTGTCGGGGATTGGAGCGGGGGAATTGCTCAGGATGGTGGTGAGATCCGGGTTCAGATCCAGACCTAGGGACGTGCCGGCTCTCAGCCGCCTTCCATCATCTGCCCAGTTCTCTGGCGTTCTGTTGATTGACAGCAGAAGCAGGAAGTGCCAGCCCAGAAAAAAGAGAATAGTGTGGGTGTGGCAAAATGGCACAGTGGGAGGGGCTTAAATACTGAGACGACGTACAGAGTGCAGGGATCAACAGTATGTAATGTACACAGGGCAGGGGTCAGCAGTATGTAATGTACACAGGGCAGGGGTCAGCAGTATGTAATGTACACAGGGCAGGGGGTCAGCAGTATATAATGTACACAGGGCAGGGGTCAGCAGTATATAATGTACACAGGGCAGGGGTCAGCAGTATGTAATGTACACAGGGCAGGGGTAAGCAGTATATAATGTACACAGGGCAGGGGTCAGCAGTATGTAATGTACACAGGGCAGGGGTAAGCAGTATATAATGTACACAGGGCAGGGGTCAGCAGTATGTAATGTACACAGGGCAGGGGTCAGCAGTATATAATGTACACAGGGCAGGGGTCAGCAGTATATAATGTACACAGGGCAGGGGTCAGCAGTATATAATGTACACAGGGCAGGGGTAAGCAGTATATAATGTACACAGGGCAGGGGTCAGCAGTATGTAATGTACACAGGGCAGGGGTCAGCAGTATATAATGTACACAGGGCAGGGGTCAGCAGTATATAATGTACACAGGGCAGGGGTAAGCAGTATATAATGTACACAGGGCAGGGGTCAGCAGTATGTAATGTACACAGGGCAGGGGTAAGCAGTATATAATGTACACAGTGCAGGGGTCAGCAGTATGTAATGTACACAGGGCAGGGGTAAGCAGTATATAATGTACACAGGGCAGGGGTAAGCAGTATATAATGTACACACTGCAGGGGTAAGCAGTATATAATGTACACAGGGCAGGGGTCAGCAGTATGTAACATACACAGGGCAGGGGTAAGCAGTATATAATGTACACAGGGCAGGGGTCAGCAGTATATAATGTACACAGGGCAGGGGTCAGCAGTATGTAATGTACACAGGGCAGGGGTCAGCAGTATATAATGTACACAGGGCAGGGGTCAGCAGTATATAATGTACACAGGGCAGGGGTAAGCAGTATATAATGTACACAGGGCAGGGGTCAGCAGTATGTAATGTACACAGGGCAGGGGTAAGCAGTATATAATGTACACAGTGCAGGGGTCAGCAGTATATAATGTACACAGGGCAGGGGTAAGCAGTATATAATGTACACAGGGCAGGGGTAAACAGTATATAATGTACACAGGGCAGGGGTAAGCAGTATATAATGTACACAGGGCAGGGGTCAGCAGTATGTAATGTACACAGGGCAGGGGTAAGCAGTATATAATGTACACAGGGCAGGGGTCAGCAGTATATAATGTACACAGGGCAGGGGTCAGCAGTATGTAATGTACACAGGGCAGGGGGTAAGCAGTATATAATGTACACAGGGCAGGGGTAAGCAGTATATAATGTACACAGGGCAGGGGTCAGAAGTATGTAATGTACACATTGCAGGGGTCAGCAGAATGTAACATACGTGGTGCAGAGGTTAGTAGTATGTAACGTACACAGTGCAGGGGTCAGCAGAATGTAACACACATGGTTCAGGGGTCAGCAGTATGTAATGTACACAGTGCAGAGGTCAGCAGTATGTAATGTACACAGTTCAGGGGATCAGCAGTATGTAATGTACACAGTGCAGGGGTCAACAGTATGTAATGTACACAGTTCAGGGGGTCAGCAGTATGTAATGTGCACAGTGCAGGGGTCAGCAGTATGTAACATACACAGTTCAGGGGGTCAGCAGTATGTAATGTACACAGTGCAGAGGTCAGCAGTATGTAATGTACACCGTGCAAATGTCAGTAGTATGTAATGTACACAGTGCAGGGGGTCAGCAGTATGTAATGTACACCGTGCAAATGTCAGTAGTATGTAATGTACACAGTGCAGGGGGTCAGCAGTATGTAATGTACACAGTTCAGGGGGTCAGCAGTATGTAATGTACACAGTGCAGAGGTCAGCAGTATGTAATGTACACCGTGCAAATGTCAGTAGTATGTAATGTACACAGTTCAGGGGGTCAGCAGTATGTAATGTATACAGTTCAGGGGGTCAAGAGTACATACAGTGTGAAAGTCTGGGGCAGGTAACGTACATTGTGCCACTGGTAAATGCAGGGTGCAGAAAATGACATCAGGGATGTCTAGCCTGGATGTCAGGTGTCACCAACAGCTATTGGTCAACTACTGACAAATGGGAGGTGGCGGAGGCCCGGCCTGGGCCTAGTGGCTGTCAGCGAGCGGGGAGGAGGAATATCAGCGAATATCCAATCTCTGATCTCCCCTCTGAACCTTCAGGGGGGCCCACAGGTGATATTAGGGGTCCAGTAGAGCGGAGGACCTGTCACTTCTACTCTACCCTCACATAGCGGACGACCTGCCACCTATGTCATTTCAATAAAGTTCAATTTAAAAAAAAAAAAGTCACATATAAAAAAAAACACAAAAAATGAAAGCCCCGCCCCAACATCATGAACATGCGCATACGTACAAAGCGGCCGGGTCCAGGTGTGCCCATGTCCCTAAACGGTGACTGCGTAACACATGTAGTGCCGCGCATGCCAGGGTGTGAGCCATCATTCTCTGCCCACTGAGATAAACCAATAGGGTTCTAGAGCGCCACCTACGGACAGATCTGGGTACCACGGGTAGGACGTGTTTGGCATCTACTTGCTCGGCGAAACCCCACCTTTTTATATCCGACTGAAACAAACTTTTGCTGACAATGTGTGTTTGATAAACGTGTGCGCTAACATCATGCGACGTAAAAAAAAAAAAAAATGCATTTCTTACCTGCTTGTGTCCTGCAGATGTTGGGGTGAAGCTTCCCCAGAATTTTTTTTGGCCAGTGTTCCAGATCAGAATGCCGTGTATGTGACCTCCCCTCCCCCCCTAACCCGAGCTGGAGGGTAGTAAACCAGTCCCAGGAGGGAGAGGGATGAACATTCCGGAACACATTGACCGCCAGTTCCTGAGTGAAGCGGAAAGGTCGCTTTTAATAACATCCATTCAGAAAAATACCAAATGTAGCGATTATAGACAAATTACTCTTTAAAGGAAATGGATGAAAGAAAATACGATGTGGGGGGGTGGGGGGGGGGTGGAATTTGCCGCTCGTCTTCAGCAAAATCCTCGTCCAATCAGAGGAGCTGTCGTACCGGCGCTGTCTGGCGGCTCGTCTGGCGGGCGCAGACCGTCAGCTCTTCAGGCGGAGAGCGCTAACCTTCTTTGCGGCGTCTGCACTGCATGTAATTGTATTCATTAGATCCCGGCTGGGTTTAATTGTCCTGACAATTTCTCGGTGCCGGGATCAATGACGTGTGACGCCGTGTGTGTGTACAAATTACATAGTACATTACACACCGCGCCGAGCGGGGAGCCGGGAAAACGCTGCCGGAGGATCTGTGTAACCTGGAATGTGGCTGCCCTCCCCGACCCCTCCACCCCCCCTCACTGCCAGGACTGGAGGGGTACAACCGCTGAAACTAGTGTCCCCGCCACCCCCCCTCACTGCTAGGACTGGAGGGGTACAACCACTGAAACTAGTGTCCCCGACCCCGCCACTGCCAGGACTGGAGGGGTACAACCACTGAAACTAGTGTCTCCGACCCCGCCACTGCCAGGACTGGAGGGGTACAACCACTGAAACTAGTGTCCCCGACCCCGCCACTGCCAGTACTGGAGGGGTACAACCACTGAAACTAGTGTCCCCGACCCTGCCACTGCCAGGACTGGAGGGGTACAACCACTGAAACTAGTGTCCCCGACCCCGCCACTGCCAGTACTGGAGGGGTACAACCACTGAAACTAGTGTCCCCGACCCCGCCACCCCCCCTCAC